AAACTGGCAATTGGACATTCCCCAAGGGGTCCAAGATTGGAGAGGGTGCAGGCTGGGTTGAGGGACAACCCCCTGCACGAATTTCATGCACCAGGCCTCTAGTCTATATAATAAAAGCCTAAGTGACCGTTATGGTGGAATGACCAGAACAATTGGTCGCTATGATGCACACTGACCACCAGGGGGCAGACGCTCAATGCAGGAGCTGTCCCCGGTGGTCAGTGCGCTCCCACAGTGGGAGGCCGCTCAGCCAGAAGCCGGGCTCACAGCTGGCGAACGCAATGGCAGTGGTGGGAGCCTCTCCCACCTCTGCAGCAGCACTAAGGAGCAGTGAGCTGAGCAGTAAGGAGCAGCGAGCAGGCAGTGGTAAGGAGCAAGGGCTCCCAGACTGCGAGAGGGATGTCCGACTGCCAGCTTAGGCCTGTTCCCTGTGGCTCACAGCTGGCGAGTGCAACGGCAGTGGTGGGAGCCTCTCCCACCTCTGCAGCAGCACTAAGGAGCAGTGAGCTGAGCAGTAAGGAGCAGCGAGCAGGCAGTGGTAAGGAGCAAGGGCTCCCAGACTGCGAGAGGGATGTCCGACTGCCAGCTTAGGCCTGTTCCCTGTGCGTGCCTAAGCCGGTAGTCAAATATCCCCCTATGGGTTCTGGACTGCAAGAGAGCGCAGGCCAGGCTGAGGGACCCTCCCACTCCAGTGCACAAATTTCATGCACCGGGCCTCTAGTAAAGTATAATCATTGAATATTTTTAGAAATGTATACATACAAAGAGAAGAAATATTAAACAAAATAAAAATTCACCAAAATATTAACATGTTATTTCTGAGTTGTGTATTTATGGGTGAATTTTTATACTGCATTCCCAAAATTTTCTGTAAGTGTGCACATGTTAATGTATAATAAAAAACTATAAATCTGATATTTTAAATGTCAAGGTTTAGCATCTGTTATTGATATACCAGTAGTAGTAATAATGATTCCTATTAAAGAATAAAGTCTCAACCCTTGGATTCACTTACTTTTAAAATTTATTTGCCCATAACAACATTTTGTATGTTTTCACTCTTCTTCCTAGTAATTATTCAAATCTTCTACTTCTTTTTGATTTGGTCATGGTATATTGTATGTTTCTAAGAATATTTCCATTTCTTCTAGGTTGTCCAGTTTGTTGGCATGTAGTTTTTCATAGCAGACTCTTATGACCCTTTGTATTTCTGTATTATCAGCTGTAATGTTTCCTTTTTCATTTTTAACTTTATTGATTTGTGTCCTCTTTTTTCCTTGGTTAGTCCAGCTAAGATTTTGTCAATTTTCTTTATCTTTTTCAAAGAACCAACTCTTAGTTTAGTTTATCTTTTCTATTGTTTTTCTGTTTCTATTTCATTTACTCTTGCTCTAATCTTTATTATTTCCTTCCTTCTGCTATCTTTGGGCTCAGTTTCTTCTTTTTCTAGTCCGTTAAGACATAGAGCTGGGTTGTTTATTTGGGACCTTTCTTCCTTCTTCTTCTTCTTCTTCTCCTTCTTCTTCTTCTTCTCTTGATGTATTGATTATATATTTTTTATATTCTTTTCTTATTGTCTAAAGTTTCACATATGTCTCCTTTTTCCCCTCTTGACCTCTCCCTGCTCACCCCCCCAGCACACCCCCCAGTCTGTGTCCATTGGTTATGCTAATATGCATGCATACAAGTCCTTTGGTTGATCTCATTCCCC